ATATAGAACATACGATAATATACCTATTGCGCTTATCGAAGTAGATAACGAGAGGATTTCGGCCACGGAACTACAAGTAGCCATTATGCATCCGTTGGAAGTTTGCCTCGCAGTGGCAGTGTCTGGGCTCTACGAACGGGGATGTATTTCGGTTGGGCATGAGCGAAACTGCAATTCCTGATCAGTTCCTCCGCGTTGTTGGACGGGAGATCCGACGCTGGACAGGTCGTTTATTGTGACAGTACGCATTTGAAAAATCCCAATTAGTGACGAAATATCAGCAAAGAGTCCTTGTGGTATGCACGCTTGAGTAATATAAGAACTAGCCTGGGTTAAAAATGCGCATCGTGCATAGGGTTTTATAGAAACCATATATTTTAGTTTTCACCTCGTCTTTCTTCCGTCCCTACACAGCTTTCTAGCTGATTAGCCAACGAAAACGTTTGCTGAAAATGGGACCTTTTGCGGGAAACGAGAGCTCGTGGTATTGTTCAGTTGATGCCCCTCTCTCCCCGCAAACCATTGAGAACATAAATGCTATGAAAACGTTGTCTATTTGTGTACATGCGTAATTCTGCGAGAGCTCTATCATCACTACAATAATGTATGAAGGTACATTATCATTGTACATCCATTGCTTCACGAACGTCCATTAGACGCACATCAGCGAGCGTGTATAACAGCAGTTTGATCGGATGTAGTTATGACTGCAGTATCGCTGACCGAAGTGCTCGAGGAACTCTGCACACGTCATACGGTCAGCTATCTTCTCGACGACGTCAATGCATTCCGCCTCCTCAGTAGAATCCACCTGCCCATGGTACGAAATAAGTAAAAACAAGAGACAAAACCAACAACATAATAACGAAATCGAATCGTTTATCGCTTTGCGGGTGCGCAACCATTGATAAATACGCTCTTGTCAAATTATAGACGGCTGTGCCCATACACACGGACGCGCACTGGCTTTTTGGTCATTACAATACCGCACATTGAGGTATAGCTTAAGTTACCTTATCGATGCGTCGGTCAGCCGATTGGGATGCCGAGACAGCCACCACTGTCGTTGACGCAGGAGGCGCTGCGGTCGACCGTTGGCGGCCCCGACGCTTACCACTGCCCGTGAACGATGGCGTTTCGGAGGATGAGTCGAGGCGGCGCAACCCCCGAGAACTTTTCATGCTGAAGCGCACAAAATTATAATATTGTAGAAATACAGGTAGGTGACAGAGCACTTACGTAGGAGATTGTGGCTGTCTAACCGGTCGAGATCAGAATGACGTTTCGCCTACTTTCGTTTTAGCTACAGCAGTAGGAAGTGGGCATAGTTACCCTGTTATAGCTAATGTTATTGAAAGAACATGGACTTCAAAAAAGGTTAATTTTCAAACGCGGCTTCGAGTGAATGGGAACCGCACTGTCCAGAGCCGGTCCTATTTGTTGCCTACAATCGAAAATGATCTCGACGAATTTATCGCAAATCATTAAATTGTTCCAAGAAATATATCTGCCCTTAGGTTCATAGGTCGCTGGTTACATATGCCGTGGATTTACGCACTAGTTTTCACATTATGACGACCTAATTGCAATAATCCTAATAGGACGAACTAATTGCGCTTTACAAAACATTATGTTTATTCGGATTGCGTTGGCACCCTTCAGTTCAGTGGCTGCCCCATTTTTTGCACGGATATTGACTTTTAATATAGTTCAGAGACAGTAAAGAGGGCAAGATTCGGATCGACGCTTTTCTGGTTTCCTCTTCTGAAAACGATCCTCCTGCCAATTTATTGAATTTCTAATTTCCAGTGGTGCGACGGGGGATCCCACGTGGGATCTTACTCAGACTGTTCACTCGATTTGCCTAAATGTTACACAGCTGCGTTTCTTCAGAGCTATGCGACCTGGGTAGGCTCGCATAGCAGACGAACTCACGTTGAAAAACCTGATTGTCAATCGTTGCTATCAAAAAAACGGCTACGACGTCAAGGCAAGCAGACAGCCTGACGAATTACGATGGTACTTTCTCAAAGGGGGAGTTAGACCCGTTCTAATACCAAAAAGCTGTTGTTGAGCAAATGTTTGTGAAAGTTATGGAGTTATATTATTATCTTGTTATTAAAAAAATATGCAGTGTATAGCTATGCATTGTTTCATGTTGTAGAATGTACGCGGTTTCGACGTCGCTTACTTTGCACGCCGCGCTCGTTTAGTGCGTCAAAAAACCCAAAATATGGTTGTCAAAATGTATTTTTTATTGTGTAGCCCATATCTATTCAACCCGAAGTCTAGCAGCAATGTAATGAACTGTACAAAAAAATTACAATAGTTACTCATTTTTGATAAATAAACTATTTCAGAACCCTTCCTACAAAATAGGGAAATGTAAATATTAAAAGAGCGGAAAATCGACTTCTTATTTATAGACAAAATAGGTTTCCAGTTGACGCGAGTAATACCTTAACTATAGGCCCACTTTTTATCACGCCTGTAAGTTAAACACTTTCCTAACCTTTTTTCAAATTTCCTAGCACTTTAGTTTTTCTTTGCTAAATGCCTTCCTCTGTTCCGCTCGCTCTCTCTCTCTCTCTCTCTCTCTGTATATATATATATATATATACATAAAGTTGGTTGCTTCCGCTGCCAGCTATACTAAAAGATGACACGTGATATATTATTGCGTTGCTATATACCGATTGGTTGGAGAAGCGACGGCCGCTGACACCTGCGAGTAGTCAGGAATAATATTTTCGATTTCGTGGATACATTTGCCGTTTTTGCACACCTGACCATCGCCACAGGGGCTGCCCTCTGCTGCTGGACGGTACGAAACGCAGTAACCGGACGACGAGTCGAAACAGAAAAGCTGTGCACATACCCGGGAGTCCTTCTGTAAATAGGACAGCGTGTTCGCGGTCGAGTGTGGGTTTACGGGAAGCAGAACATCGAGACAACATAAAAAAGTGGCAATAAATGAGGTAAGCGGTAACAACATGCAATTTGGTAAAAGGGAATTGGCTAGTGAATAATAAGGAAAATATATGGCTAATCATAATGGGTTATGCAATAGGAATAGGCGATGAGGAACATGCGGAAATACTAAATACTCGAAGCTACGAGGATGCTGGAACGAAAATCGAGAGAAACGAGTGATTGCGACACTAGCTTGACGGATAATAGCTTACCGATATACTGGCCCATTGATTAGATTGATGAAAGAAACAGACGTAATAGTAGACAAGTAGATAACAATACAACCAGAATTCAATTGTATGTAAAAACAATATTGCTCTGGTTTGTTGTTAAACTCGACTGGCTTTCTTCTCTACTGCAACGTACAAATCACTCTCCTGGATTCATGTCGCTAGTAACGTTGGCATAGCAACACAAGACGGCGCCCAACAATATTGAAACACGACAACACTAAAGCGTCCAGAGGCTTCGACGACTTTTCTCTATAGAATGCATGTTCATGAAAGCATTGCGTGAGAGTGACATAGGAATAACAAGGTTTCATCACAAATCACATCTTTTCACATTAGACATCAGTCAGCTGTGGTATAAACACATATTGAAATTGGATTAAGGAGAAGGAGCGATTCAAGACGAGACGTGAATGAGGGCACAAATTCAATGGAACAGAAAACGCAGGTTAAAGATACTCATTGTCATGGTAAACGTTCTAGCTAGGAAAGGAGGCCGAGCTCCGTAGACAAGGTTTATGTATGAACAATTTGAAAACTATATACACACACTTTGCTCTTTGTCATCGTTGCGATGTAGTGTCGAATATTTGCAACAGGAATACTTGAAGACTACTTAACTATTTGCAATAGAAGAACTCTTCCTTTATAACTGTAATATAAATGTATAGAAGAGGAGCAAGGATCCCAAAATCCTAGTCGGTTACTTGGCACGAACTTCCATGATCTATTTCATATTATACATTGGGCCAATCATTTCCCTGAAAATCTAGCATATATATTGAAAAGTTCCCATAATGGCGATACGTAAAACATTGGCTTTTGAGCTCGTTAAACATAACAATCAATAACGAACAAAAGGTATTTGAATAATCAGCTTTTTAAAACAAATCAATTAACTCGAATTATCTGCCTTTTCATTAGATAACAGACAGAATATACTGCACCAGTGTGAGTGTATCATGCCCTCATAAACCCACTGCACTAACTATGACCAAAGAAGATTGCATCGCACATATACGGGGCTTAATCTTCTGCTGCTAAATGCTGATTGCCAAGTGGCACTATGTAAGCTACCAGTGATAACTTAATATTACACATATTATATTATATATAAATATTATAATATTTTATAAATGATAGGTCCTCAGCAAAAGCGTCCTGGCATTATTGTCGTGTGACCATTTATCTAATATAAATTGTATGCGTAGTCGAATTGAGCTCAGACGAAAGCATGTGTATGGTACTTACGAAACATGCACTGGTGCCTCGGTCTCTTCGACACTGCTCATCGAGAGAAAGCATCGTTCCAGGAAGGACTCTTGCTAAAAGTTGATTTTCATGGGGGTAGTTATATAAGCAAGATGCCGTTTCACCGCTGTAAACATCAATATGGACACACAAACACTTATATATATATATATATAGACAAACCTAGGCAGAAACATATAAAAATAGGAAGGCACCGGACTATAAGCATGAAGTTGGGGGTAGGAACTGATTCCAGTTGGGAAAATCGCTTTTTTTTTTCTAATGTCTTCTGATAACTCTGTAGGCCTCGGCTGGCATATCGTTGATGAAAGAACCATTACGTGACGATTACGTAGTTTCATCTTATCTTCAATTCGTAGCATCGTATCGTAGCTACTTGTGTTTGTGATAGGCTATGTCAATCAATAGCTTTGACTACTTCCGTTCCATCAGCTATGAAAGTCTATACAATGTTGTTATTGTTACTCGTTGCTTATCAATCAAACTCGTTTAGTCACCTTCGTCAGCAAGCTATCTAGATGTTTGTTACTCGTTATTTAAATAATCAATAGAATTGGTCATTAAAACCAAAAAAAAGAGCCTAACTGTGGTGATAATTGTTGCTTAAGAAGATATCTACACAATTTAATTACGTTTCCATAAAATGTATGCAGCTGCGCTAATTATAGGTACAAAAAGTAATGCATCGAAAAGTTATCTTTGATCTGATAAATTCGATTTATATGCTTAGCCACATCTTGTAGCTAGCATAATGTCAATACGACGAAATGATCGATGATTCTCCAGTTGGCTTAGTTTCGTAATTCGTAGTTGAGACATATGTATAAGAGGATCATAGCTAACCAACATATGCCACTTACAAGAGAAAATGCTTGAATTGTTGTACGGAACAAGTAGACCATCGGAAACCGCGTTCAGTATGACGAAGATCAGACATTATGAATCCATCCTCCCATGGGCAGCTTGTGGCACCCGGTCCGCCCAGGTAACTGGGAGGCGGTGATCCGTCATGGACACAACCCAACAGATGGCCCACCTCGTGAGCTGCTACAATGATACCGGAAAAGCCTCCGGAATCCTCAATAATCGCAACGGAGTTCACCTGCGTTAAACATTGCAGAGACAAATCAGCCCAACGGATTTACGTACAACAATTGTACGGAGCATCATTTGCAATATTAAGTGATTGCCCTAACTTAATATATGTTCAGACAACGGATCTATTAAATTTGTGGCTATTGCGTACTATTGACTGTACCAATAGTGCCACTTATATACGATTCGAGAGGCATCGAGCTTGAATCTCAGTGTGTTTCTACGTTCCATTAAGCTCTAAGCACGTAAGGGAATGAAGCAGTAGTGATGCCAACAGCTTGATATCTAATTTCTATGCTGCATTACTGAATGCAGCACGTACATATGCTCTTGCGTATATAGTCGGCTAGCAGCTTAGACACTCGTACTCGCAGCCTAAGCAGGAAAATGAAGCTCGAATGGAAGCGCGTCACTTCTGAAAAAATCGTACTCCTAAAAGGAACAACCCACGCACCTTTTCGAGACGTTTATTTACTACACAGGCTCCTCCGACATAGGCGAATCCTGCCGTACCACGGTTACAGCGCCCTCCTTCATAGTGTCTTCGGCACATATCAAGCTTCGTGATGACCACCGCAAGATCGTAGGTTGGTAATCGGTCTTCTCGATACAGATATTTGCCAAGATCCGTCAAGGCGCCAGCAACGTCCACCGCGTCCTCGTTCGGTGGTCGCAGCCGGTTTCGCTCAAGATATGGGGTCGCATCGCGATCTTTGGCAACGATCATTCCAGCGAGGCTGATCTTAACCCGCGGCGACGTCAATAGTCGATATCGCAGATCTACGCCGTTCCAAAAACTTACAAAGTAACGCTTGATCTCAGCGTGACTTCGCCCATGCAGAGCGTACGTATCGTAGTCGACAATCAGGAGGACCTCGGGCCAAACGGTGTCGGGGGCCGCGCGCTTACGAATTCGATGGGTTCGTGTACGATTGTGCGACAAGAAAACAGATTCAAGAGGTACTGGAATAGAAACAGGATTAATGAAATATGTTCTGTATGAAAAAACAATTGAGGCCGGCTTATACGTCGAAGGTTGAAATCAGCTACGTTTCTAGGCAAGGTAAGTCGATTACAGTGATCTTTGAATATCGCAGTTCGGTTGATACAGTCAAAAGGTTGGCAATCGGAGCAACCTTAATTCAAATTCACCCATGAAACGTTTTTATGCAAAAGTTACTTTTTATACATTTTGGGTTTAATATATAGTGAATTGTTTTTTTGATGCTATTGAGAATCTAGAAAAATAACTCAGGGAGTTTTGCAATAAGAACATTTCAAAGGTTGGACGAACAAAGAAACCATAGGAGAATCAGAGCTCAATTTCAGTACATGCTGCTACCGCAGGAAATAGCCAGACATGATCTACAAAAACTATCCTAAGATGCAGTTCAGCTGTCAGCGCAAGTAAAACAATATAACTCTATTCTTTGTGTTTCATATGAAAATGGTTGACTTTTCCCATTTTAAATTAAATACACTTAGCATGTACAAAGGCAAAGTATTTATACTCGCGTACTCATAAAAAAAATATTTTTCTAATCAACGGATTAACGGTCTGTTAGGAAGCCGAGACGTTATTTTTTCATTTCCTCTAAGAACGATTTAACTGAATTGATCAGTTAAGTTTTTTGCCCTTGATTGTGGTAAGGCGAAAAACTGAAAACGTACACCCTAAGTTTGCCTGCTTAGTACGTTAATCGAAACTTTTTTACGATTCGAACTTAACTTAATACTGACGCTGATGATCATAAATTCACATCAACCTGCGGTGCCCAGAGCAGTTTGGTCGCACGAACTCTTGAATATGAAACAAATACTACCCAATCATTGTAGTTCGACATGGAAAAACATGTAGAATACAACCCTTGCAATATGTAGCGCTCAATCGACTGGCTTTAACGGACAGTTTACAGGAAAATGTATTTTAGATCGATTACCTCAGGGTAGATTCATCTTCTTTAACGAGCTAATTTGCTAGCAGGAAGTATCATGCCTTCTGCGATGGTTTGGCGCCATTGAAATTAGGTAACAAGTGCTTTTGTATTTGTTAAACACTGTGCTTTTCAGCATAAGCAGTCAAGGCAAACAACAATCCCTAAAATACTTTGAACCTTTGTGCCTCACCTGCGTAGTCTATGTGTATCGGCGTGTATATGTTTGCGAACTCTGATTTCGATTTACAGTCATCGGAAGCACCGCACGGCTGACCGCTTCATGTCTCTACTTCTGAGCACTTAACATGACTGCACGTAGTGCATACAACACAATGGACGCGACTATTCAAACCCACAAAATACATACATATGTTTGTCTACATGATAACTCAACGAGACTTCTCGCTGTTGTTCTCGGAGATGCCTTAAAGCAGTCGATGTAAACGATGGCGAAGTCCATCTTCGGTGGAGCCTTGGCCAGTTGTATTCACCCGTCCCAGCGCGCACCAGTCTATTTCAACTACGAAACACTGGAGTCTTTTTAATACCTTTTATAAGTTTTCAATAAATTTAATGAAATGTTGTCTTGTATTTTTTCCTAACATTTGAATTTAGCGGAGCAGTTGTTTATATGGCAAATCTCAACATCAGATACCTGCATGCAGCGGTGAAGGACATTCAATTCTCCAGAAGTACTTCCTGAGCATCTTCACACCTGGTGATCTGTTCTTAGAGAAAGATTTGGAAAGCCGGCTTCTCACTATATTCCCGGAATCTTATTCTCACGATAAGTTAGGTTTAAAATCGAAAGAACTTGTACTTTTTTTGTTACTATTTGGCAATGCAATAAGCCGAAAATGTTTGGGAGTCAACACGCTATTACAACGGTTGTAGAGTCATATGAGGATAATGCAAGCAGTTCCATACACAAATGATGTATTTTGAAGTATCACAGTTCATGGAGAGACGTTTTTAACTTTAGAAGCTACTCTTTACGTTTGAATTCGATCCCTAAGGATTTGAAAGCGGTATTTATGGCACACATTCAATACTAGCACTATTTGTATAACGTAAAGTCTTGCCGTCAGTCTCCTCTAACGATTCTTTATCAAGACTTTCTATGTAAGCCTGTAAAAATGGCCTACACTATCCACGCCGGTTTTAGAATTCAGCCCTTATTTTAAACCTAAAGGGTAGGCACAGCTGTCGTATTAGGCATATTTACGCCGCCGTGAGCACATATTCAATACAATCTCTACTTTTAGTTGAAAGCCGGAAGACAGGCTCAAGCTGTAGTCACGTTGCTTCGGCAGTTACCTGCTCATTAACATGGATTTTCATATAGGAATATTTTTGCATTTGTGACTAAATACAGAACATTTTAACATAATCCCCCGTACCCTCTATCTTACTGCTTTTGAAGAAGGCAAATTTAATTACTTGATTGGCAATCACTAAAAGTCCGAAAAATTCGAAGAAAGAGGTCTGGTGACACTGTGCGCAACACGTAAAGTTAAAAATCCTCACCTAAAATCCTAGCATACTGCCAGATGTAATAAGGACAACATGAGGGCATAAGTATATTAATGTAAAGAGTAGTGGGGCCAACTTACGAAAATCACTGTGGAAAAGGTCATGGTGCTCGGACAAGACTCTGTTGCGTTTATAGACAAAGTGTACACTTTTGCCCTTGAGACTTTTCGTTCTTAAGACGGCCTTTGGTGCGCGGTTTTTTTTATCAGGCTGTAGCAGGTCCGGCACATATTTCTTCGGGTTTTTGGCGTTCTTCGGTTTCTTCTTGTCGGTGGGCTGGGTGGCGAGCGTGAAATCATCTTCACCCAAGAACATCTCATCATCGGCGGTGCCTTCTTCTTCATCGTAGAACGTCTCGTTTCTTAGGCCTTCTGGCACCGGTGCGATAACCAGCTCATGGCCCACCGTTCCTAAATTGAGCGTAATATTGTTCGATTAATACTATTATTATATTTTTGCTTTCTGTGTTTTTCTATTCAATTGTGCTTATTCATAATGAGACGATCGGAGCATGCCCTACTACATAGGAAACGGAATAATTTAGAAAAATCCGGGTACGCATAAGCAATAGCTAGCCGTGCATCTTTAAACGCTATAAGTATCTTCAGAATTTTACAGAAGTGTGACTTTACAGAAATACGCGTTAGCTTAGCTGAGTTTTTGGTCTGAAGGATAATTTGTTGGCATTTTTATAGTGCTTACAGCTTTAACTTGAATGATATTCGACTGACTGCCCTATTTTGGAACGTTTCTTAATGGAAAATTTTCCACTTTGTCAATTCAAATAGGTCATATCGACTTAACATGCCACTCAAATCCAACTATGCTCAAAAAAAGATTTATACAATAGGGGGTTTCTGGAGAAGTTAAAGGTAGTCTATTTGATTTCAGTACTGCCTTGAGGAAGGACAAGAATAGAAATTTTTTGCTTTGTAAGTTAATGAATTGCGGTGGAAAGTGTTATTTTAACTGAGCCTAGTTTTCAAAAAAGGGTCGCAGCCGAGAATTAAGGTGCAAGTCGTTGAAACTTACAATCGTTGAATATTTCCTATTCTTACATTTCACAAAAAAGGAAACCTAATTACTACACTTATTTTAACACGTGATTGTTTCGATCCACAAAGGTACAATGTCTGGATTTTCAAACAGATCGAGTCCCAGACGCAACGTTCACACGCCATGTCTAATAAAACATGCATAGGATACTATTTGGGCATACTTATTGCTCAGTTAGGCATCGCTTCAGGTCAGATACACAAGACTGGCACCTATGTATAACAAAGCTCTTTACAAAGGTGTTCGATACATTGTACCGGCTTGCCCAAAATGTATTATTCTTTTTTGATTGCTTTATTCGACGCCTATATTTCGTGCGTGTCAGAAACGACCTTGAGGTTTTCCCCCAGTTGTTTTAACTAATGCATCAAATGTAAAAACTAGTTCTTCAAGAAAACCTAATATTTTGGAGACTGCAAGTAACAACCTTAGTAAAAGTAACATTCAAGTTTCTAAGATGCACTGTAGAGATTATAAAGGGTTTCCCACTAAGAAGTTCAAAGGCTATGTCTAGAAAAAAATCGAACCGGGACGTAACTAAGGTGTTCAGAAAGGTCGTAAAAGGCCCTGTTTGCTTGCAAGATAGGGTCATTTATTTGGAAAATGGTATATCACACACTCTTTGCTTCTAGACTATTTCTATGCAGAGTATCGCGTATTTATGGAGAAACCCCGAATTTTGAGAAACACGCCCTTACTCTAAATTCGATATTCCGTTTGAAATATCTTTTTCTTGAGCTGCGTAAGCTCATCCAGCTTACTGGGAAACTCCATTAACTGCATCTCCAATTCCTACCTTCAACTTCTATGCCCCCATGGGGGTGACGGCTGAGAATCAGTGCTGCGTGATTAGCCTCATCGACGTAAGGCGTTGCCGGTCCTGAACGCTCCTCCGATGAAGATGTTCCGTCGTCACTTGCCGCACGAATTTCCACCCCTAAAAGAGTAAAATTCCCACATATGTTTAAGTAAAGACAAAGGATAGACAATTTAAAAATTGAGGAAAATGGCTATGTCGATAAGAAAATCGTTACTAGATAGTCTCGTTTATCTAGCCGTTGTATACGTTACGTTACGTGAGTCTAAAACGTCGCCAGTACATATTGCTACCTAGGTGTTCATTAGCGGCTTTGATGAGATGTTCTTTTTCATGCTCACTAGTATCTGAGGTGCGACATTTTCTGCTTATCGGTGAATAATGGAGTTCTGAGTCTGTCTAGTTTCGATTGTGTCTTGCCGCAGGGTAGACGTTCTCAGTTGTTTTCACTGCCGCATTAGCTGCGTCGCGGCTGACCGCTTCACGTAAACACCCAAATTATGTACCCTTGCAAATAGTAGTTTCTTATGTGAAGCCTTCACGTGTATAGAATGTAAAGCTTTACTTAAATCTAACAATTGGTACCTAATTGAAACCAAAACTTAGTGAACTATTTCAAAAGCCTCTTGTAGTTTACCGTAATAAAAAATTAAACTTATATTTATAATTTGTTTTTCTAACTTGAAAAATTTGGCTGCAGACATTTATCTGTGTGAATTTTTTTTTTTTGGAAACTGACAGAACCTTTTAGAAATATCGCTGTTTACCAACGAAATAATAGCTTTGACTTGTTCTTTGGAATTAAATGTATTGTTCCACTTCAATGAGCTTATTTGCTAAATAATAGGTCCGCGTACTTTGCTACAAAAAAAAAACAATGCTGAAAAACTCCCCTATAATTCAGAGCTTTTTAACACTTCACTCAGACAGATGAGTCTACATGCTGGTAGCGATAATAATGATAATGGATCCTCGAAGATATGCGGTATTCTTTATGCGATAAATTGCACTATACGTCTGAGTTGTCGTATGTATTTGAATAGAACCGTTGAATTTAAAAATGCCTAAAAAGTAATCCAAGATAACAGTGTATCTTTTTCTAGTTCGATTTCAGCTCGGAAGTCATTGAGCATAGATGTTCGCGCTGCAGCCGCTTCATCTCGGAGAACGCTTAGGGTCTTCGCTGTCATCATCTTCTGGACTGACAATTTTGGCTTCTACGCAGCTTTGGAAGCCTGCAACAGTACCTATAACTTGCAAATATTGAAACCAGGCGTATGATCTATTGCATCAAGGTCGAGCTGACTGACACATAATGGTCAACATTATAGTGCGATTGTCTAGGATTCTGTAACTTAAGGACTATCTATGCGCTGATCATCAAATGATATAACATCGATTCAGTGTCCTTTGCACGCTCGAGTCCCTTTTCTTTCTGATGCCCAGCGGTAATTGTAGAAAAAAGTGGGCCAGCGAATTGGTTGCATAAATTCTGGATGAATTTTTCTTCGCTCCAGCCTTTATAATATTTAGTATCATGAAACAAGTGGCATATCTGGTCAAAACTCAAACATTATCTCGATTGAGCGAAAGAGTCTGCTTATTTCTAATATTAGTAGGTCTACAGAAATTCAAAGGTCGCAAATTTTAGCTCAGATGTGGAACGTATACCCAAACTATTATACCGTTTCGTCGGATTTCTATTTAGTGAGTATGAGGAAATTATATGAACGCTAAACAAGTTACATTTCTCAGCGGATTGTGAGATTATATTTTGTATATATAGAACTTTCTGTCTTGTTTCCCTGTCGATTTTCCTTATCAATCAAATCACTTCAGACGGCAACAATATATACTATATAGTATAAACAATATGTACTAATATAGTATGAACAGATGTCAAGATTCCGAACAAACAGATACAAGCTTTGCATGTATCAAGGCTCGGGAAATCAATGAAACGTTGCTTGCAATTATATAGCCTCAGAATAAAGATCTGGCGGGTATTGAACACTGACAGAACGTTCATTGTGTGTTGCTAAGAAGGTCTCCGTAACATTGATGGAAAGTGCAACGCTGTAGTGTTCCTTACGCAGTCGTTCCTTTTTAGGGCGCGGTTTCGTGTTGTGTTGGCGCTTTTTGACACTCCTACCTTTAACTGTTGAATCTGTATGTAAATGGTATTCTTACGACTGTACGAACTGTGCACGTTGAAGCTTTGCTAGTGCTTTGAGATTCAGACGGATCTGCCTCCGGGGCAAACCCTGCATCTGCTACTATAACCCCATCAGCATCGTCAACATCATGACCATAATCGCCGTTAGTCAATTCTACCACCACACCTGTCAAGGCTCTATACGAACTACACATAGGTCTTTTTTCTATGAAGGTCAAATTGGACCGGACTTCAAAGCTCACAGTCCTTACCAAGACGGTGTCATGGCAATATAGTCCGCGTGTGGCATATATTAGTAACAGCGTTAAGGATATAATAATCATATTGTAAGTAGTTAATTGCATAGGGAATTGCCGTTTGGCATCTGGGCACTAGCTGGCAATGCCGACGAGCGGTCCACGTAGCTGGCTGGTCGACCGTCTTGATAAGCGGATGCGTACGGTGATTCACATTGACGATGCTGGCAAGATTTTTGATTTCGGTCAGGCTGCAACAAACAGCGCTTCATGGCCACTGAACACCTATTACGCACGTACACATACGCCGTTGCTGAAGTTTCTCTGCCTGTTGCAAGCTCTCATGAGTCGTCATGCACGTCCAGCAATTCGGGTCCACATAATTGCAGTAACCGTAATGATGCATGAGGAAATAAGCACGGTGACGATTGAATGTACCTATAGCCCACTCAAATCGTGCTCATAGCTTGAATGTTACATTTATTTACAGATTTAAGCTATTTTCTTAATTGCTTCATTGCGTCAACGTTCAGGCAACGACCTCGTATACGCCGAAAAATATTAATAGTGCTTTCGAGAGGTAAGCTAAAATTACTATTATTACTGAGAAATGTTTTAGATCAAATCGCCTGCACAACATTAATACCAAAATGGGTAGTAAACACGCTTGGAGACATTTTTCCTACTTAGCTGATGTATACGTTTGAAACAATTATCTTCACCTTTTCCAAAAGCTGCGATTTTAGGCAATAGCCGACTCTCGGACTAATAGAAGGCTTAAAAAATATTTTGTCTGCAAATGTTTCACATCGCAATCAGTGCGAAAACCCATAGAAGTCCGTTAGAACGCGAACGATCCTTAGTGTGACACTTTTCAATTTGTTGAAAACAAATAAAACGACCAGGAATAATTTTCTATCTCAGATCATCGACCGCTTCGTAGACGGATAAGCCAAACTTATGGAATAAGACACAGAATGTATAATGTTTACTTAACTACCCGATGAAGTGTGTTGCTGCCTATAAAGTACGTGACTCATCTCTCAGCCATGCAGGACAGATAATTGGTTTTGCCATAATAAATGTTGCGATAATGCCAAATTAATACGGAATTCGGCACAAGACATCCAGACAGCTGAATTATGTCGTAAGTTATTGTCTATTAAACCTAACTGAATTTAACTAACTAGACAGCTGATCAGAAGACACCAATGAGCGAACTTACCTCCTTTACTCGTACTGGACATTGTATACATTTTGAGTCCTTCCACCCTTCGCTGAAAATCCTCATTCTTCATCAAGTTTAAACGTAGGCGCTTTCCAAAGGCCTGCAGTGATAACTTCAATGCACGATCTACACCAGCTCTTCCGTTATCATCGAATGGGAAGTCATCCCTTCGAGCCGAGTCATAATCATTTCCAAGTGAGCCTGAGTATCCATCTTGTTTGCTTGTTGTTGGTTCTTTAGTCGTTTGAATTTTACTGATTTCAGCCTGGGCAGTATTTCTTCGAACCCGTCGTGCATGACGGGGTGTCGAGGCGTTCGTATCGGAATCTTCATGAGAGATTGCCACCACTTCGTATTCGGGAACTGTTAGGGCAAAAAATATGACGTTAGCTTTCACAAAAAATGTACCGCCTCGATGGTACTTACCATCAGAGTAACGATGTTGACAAGTAAATAAGAGAGCAACTCTTAAATGCCGTTCCATAGTAGGACAAATTTTACTACACATATACTGTCAAAGACGTCACCCATTGGTCCAAAAGTGAAGACCGAGACCTAGACTTCAGTTTAACGTTTTTACAACGTTTACGCGTACAACTCGAAGAGCATGTATATAACGTAATAAAAGCGAGCGAAATTTATCTGACTGGCAGTTTTCTCAAGTTGTTTTAAAAGTCAACAGTTTTAAAAGTCGAAAATATATTGGTAATTAATTATAAAGGTCCCTGTTTTCCTACTCCATAATGTTTGGGATACACTTTTATGTTTAAACGCATGCTTTGCGTTAGCTTGTTTTCCATTCCTTATAGATGCAAACCGTTGCTGTATTCCGATGGAAGAGTTTCGATTCAGCTTCTCCTAATAGCGTACAGAAATACTAATACCCTCGTTGTCGGGTAACCTACGTTTTTTCCGGCAGCCTAGGTAGCTTGAATCGACACACAACCGAAGATTGCTTCCGCAGTCGGTCAACGTTCACTGCACGTCCAGCTTTTAACCCCCGGTTCCTGTGGAATTCGGATTAGTACATGGCGTCTTCTAGCTGCAGACCTGTTCTCATGATATGATCCTATACTTAACGCATCTTGTCCCTCCAATCGTCCGGGTTTCAGCTTCTTTATCCGTCTTCATATTCTTCGTATTACCGTTATAATTCCCATGCGTATCGATATGTGTGTACGTATCATTCGAATGCTCGCAAAGCTAAAAGAGGCAGACGCGCAAACCAAATGTCGAAGCTGCCTCGACGCTATGAGTTTCTGTACCGGATTAGAGCAGTTATATGAGCAGCAAAAAAAGGAGTAAAGCTTCAACAAGGGCGACAGAAAGACACTCGTGAGTTAGAATTCGAATAGGAAAGTTCTTTCCAATGGAAAAGGCTATCTCAGTTCCGGAACGGGGTACATTGATTCTCGTTTTTCATTCAGAGTCATATGTACCTCAGTTTTTTGGCATCAGCCTTTTTTCAGCTTTGCAGATAGATCACACCCAAACGAGAAGGGCCTGAGAGGGTAGCGGGAAATGGCAAGAAGGTCGGCATAGCTTGCTTCCTTCAATTCAGTAAGATAATGTATGCATAAGCGCAGCATAATCCGCCGTCGTGTAGTTTCAAGTAGTCCTAACCTTTTTAAGCAACTACATAGAAACGAGTCGGTTTGGGCACGAAAATGCTGAACAGATGCAGTTCAGGGGGTAATTGGTGACAGGGAACATCGGCTGGGGACAAAGAGGGGGCGCAATGGCCTCAGAGAGTTCAGCTAACGAAAACTGCACTTAGTAACAGTTTGCCGTCTGCTCTCACGGCACCAGCAACTGCTGCACGGGAAGTTAATAAAATTGATACATGGCATAGCTCCCGTGGATGAGGCCAAAATAAGTAAATTCTTGGAAAAATGGATCCTGTCTAAACTTAGTTTGTCCATATTCATTCATTCATGTGCTGATACGCGCATTGATGTTTGCGGGGCGTCGATTATACCTGCGAGATGTACTTGTCGAGTGACATTACTTCGAGTATCCATACAAATTAGCTAGTGTAAGCTATTTCTAGATTTTTGCAAATTATTAGAGAAAAACAGATGAGTGCCGAAATCCCTAGTTATGCAAATTCTCGGTTTAGGCGTGAATACGGTTTAATATAGGGATTTTTTTTGTCACTAATTGTTAATCAAACTCATTGTACCGGATAACGACCATATAAGACTTCTTTTCGGTTTCGTTAAGTGCAGTCATGGTATCTTATAGTAATATAATTACGAAACTTGCTATTTTCTATTTAGGTTTTTATGTACGTAGAATTGGTCCGATAGACTGGCTGCTTTTTATTTTAAATTAGAAAGATACTTTTAGCTTGAACCGAGCGAGCGTATTTCTCACGACCATCCAATTTCTATCCTAAGGGTAATTGAGCCAAAGGATCCTGGTTAGTGTTTATTATCAATCTAGTCCAGCTGTTTAGTCGTCCTATTGACTTAACAAAGAGGCTATTAATTTGGCCAGCAAAAAAGGTGCTTCCGCAATTCCTTGTAGGCTTATCCTTCACAGTATATTTTTAGAGCCTTTGATAACGGGCAACGTCAACTGAAGGAAAGCCGGCTCGAGAATGACATGCATCTTTTAGCAAGCTATGTGATGAATTTCATCAGGCAGAAACTATCCTTCAAAAAACTTAGGTTTAGCGGCAGTAATTAACTAACTAACTGGAATAAGAAATTTAATTTTTCAGATCATTTATTATCTCTAGCCTCGGTATTTTGTTTGCAAGTGAAAACAATATTAGAAAGCTGTTCCCTCGTGAAGAGCAGACATTTTTTCTTTAAGTTCTAAACAGAATTAGGTAGACGTGTCCCTGTTATAGAGATGCAATGCAAATAGCTGGATTAACATAGCTATGATATTCTATATTCATTTTAATATACTAATAAGCGTATTATATGCCTCTCGTAGTGTCCCTGATTCCGATCTGCATACGTCACTTATCTGACGTCTTCAAACCAAGATAACACTAAAGGCTTTAACTACCATGGAGTAGCTATATTCCTCCTTGACCCTATATACATAGAACAAGTATAAAAAAATGTTAGCGTTGCTTTCGTTAGATGCAAATGTAAAAGCATTGATTTTTAGATATTTTTTGGAGTTGAAGGACTGTGCTGTCAAAAGTAGCAATCACTGACCATTTACCCTGGAGCCTGAGATCCTTAATCAGATAGCTTTTGCTGCAAGAAAACCTCAGACTTAGATAGCGTCGAATTTCTATTAAATTCCTGTAGAAATATGCTCCGGCTCAATGTTAGTTGTCCTTATAAATTGGATTCTGTTAAACGAAAACGAAATCTTTCGAAATGGGTCAATCATAACCTGTAGTAAAATAGGGTCAAGCATCGAACTTCCGAGCCTCAACAAATGGACTAGGGAACTGAACTAAACAAGTAACTAATTGCAGCTTTAAGAAAATATCGTCAAGTCGGTACCGTTGTTCCACTCTCTTATTTCCAAACATTATAATTCCATATAACAACTCCATATCTAATCATAACAAAGAGATATTTTCTAACGGGACTGTCGACATTGGTAGATGGAGATTGCGGTGCTTCGTCCTCTAATAAAACCGAGGACGATAAAATTTCAAGCGCCTTGTGCAGCCGTTTCGCTGCGATAAAAGCCTATTGTTACCTTTTTTTACAAGGAAAAATTTCACCTTTCTTTAATTGGACAACGATAGTTCAACAGGGAGTTAATGCAAGTGGTTTTCGCACGCTCGGATTCTGGAACTTGCACACTCATCTCGGACAACGATAGTCCGGTATACTCTTCTTAGTTTTCGTAAAATCACAACATTGGAACAAAGTCAACGGGGCGACTAGCAGTGTTGAAAGCTGGTTTTCCAGAACTGCTCTAATTAAAGTTCGTAATAATGAAACATGTTATTTTATCATATGGAAATGATACGCATCTGTGTAAAATACAAACCATAGACGTACGTTACTAAGCATGCTTACGAATTGTACGTATCTATATAAAATATATGGAAACCAGTTTTATGTGTACACACATGTCTATAAGATATTTAAGAAAAAAAAACACTTTGTTTTGTTTTAGCTTCCGTTGAATTTGACGAGGATGTTCGATACATGAATCACAACGCCTCGATATGTGTACGAATTAATTAAATACACAAAAGCCATATTGGCTTCAACTCGCCGTAGGAAATTTGGAGACAAAGTCTAAATACTTAATAGGTATCTCGGTAGATAGCTCGAACGCTATCTGCTTTTAGCGCCCGCATACCGGTAATACTCGACGGGAAGCAGAAATCAAAGGGCAATGAAAAACCGTCCTATAACATCGTCGTTGAAAATAGGATACTCATTGGCGAAATGTTTTCACTAGTAAAGTAATTGTTGTTTAACGTGTTCACGTCTACCTGTTCGCACATCGAACGCTACTATTATGACTCGAAAAATTTCACTGCATCGTATCTTTACCAATTAATCAGTCAATCAATGCTTCTTCACTCGCTTTGACCTGGACACCCACTCCCAAATGACTTACGCGGCCCATTCAAACCAAAGCGTTCTACATATTATATGAGCAGTTTGTTTTCATGGAAAACCTAGATCCAGAATTTTTTTTCGAAATTATTGTTGAAAGACGATCGTTTTAAATAAATCTGAAGCCGGACTTCGTAAAAAACAATTTCACTCAAATTCAAAAATGATTAGGTTGTAAAACGGACGATAAAGCGAAATGAAGACTAATGCGACTTTAATACTTCGTTCCTGTACATACCGGGGGTCTCGGATCCGATCTTCATCATACCACCGCTAAGGCCTTACTACTATATTATGGAAGCTAAGTGTTTTTAGTGCCAGCAAAAAAGGCACACTCGTACTTCTAGCTACTAAAGTTTAGAAAAACGTCTAGACATGTACAGTTTATGGGCAAGTCTATGCTGAAGAAGCAAGATAGGGCAGCTTACCTTGATCAGGCGATCGCACATGGAAGACCCGTCTTAGCTGTTCTTCGGACATTTGCGTGTGAATCTGAAATGTTCCGTATGAAAAAATGCAAAGGCACTGACAGAATGGGTATACAAACCTACATTAGCTCGATTATTCAAAATATACACAAAATATCTAGAATGACTTGGTTTGCATGAAGTACATACGAAGACAGGGATGGATTTACGTTGTTCGCATCGCTATAATATTTACCGTCCCCTGACCTTGACATTACAGAAGCAGATATGGACTGCTATGGATAGATCGCACTATGCTTCTACTATCGAGCCTTGTCATAGATCAAAGCTTAGCTTCGCAAAAGTACAATTTGCAGGACGGTTATCGTTGGTGTCCATCAATTGAAGAGATCATTCGAGGCGCGGACAGAACGGAAGGTAGCATTTCGAAATCGACTGAGTTTAGGATGTAACGTCAAATGTCCTGCCAACAAACAGCCAAAGCCACTATCTTTTTCCTGCATGCGCCGCTGCTTTGCTATCGTTAGGAAACCATTTCTTGCACTACGCGAAGCGAGCTCAAGCACCGGCCGGGCAACTAATTAGATTTGCAATAATATTCTGTATTATATATACTTAATATTTAGGTGGGACCCCTCATATCTTAGAAAGAAGAGTGCCTGAAAAAATAATGGTGTGGTCTTTACGATTGTACATGTAGATACTTTGTTTTTATATGTAGGAGTCGCTTATGTCATGTTGTATGTGAGATTTGCTGAGACAATCACAATCTTCGTGCACCGATCTGCACGCATCCGGTGCACCGATGGCGAGATCGTTACTCTAAATGAATACGATTCGTTATATAGCCGATTGCGTTGTCCATCGTTTACGCGAAGATCATCGACAACGGCTGTAAACTGCCGTTATTTAAGTAAGAAAATGGTTATAACAAGTCATACACTGAATCCATCCATCGATTAGGGTCAAACGATGCTTCAGAATGGAGTTAGTTTGCTGGAACCACAATGGCTGTGCGCCTAAAAAACAACAATAGCTAATACAAGCGTAGAGATTATTCAGAAACATTTACTGACGCTCAGCAGTGGCTGGCCACTGATCAGTGTAAAACTGAATAGCTGGCTCCAAAGTATTTAAATGCAGTATATTCTACATGACCGTCTACGAGAGTTGTTGGGTATCATTCGTCAGCGGTCAGGGAGACGATCCGGATAGGGCATACTGCAAGCCAACATACCTAAAATACCTTATAAAATATCACCATCTTGCCTTCTCTGAATAGTTTATTAATTAGGTGAAAAATGCGAACCGAGAACGAAGGGTTACGGTGTCCAGCTACACTGGCTTAATTGGAAATTGCAAGTATTCTCGGACAGCTGTTATCACGAGTCTTCATTAGCATTGAATCTGTAATATATATGGTCAATATGTGTTATTAATATTTCTGTGTCAGTGAAAAGCTAATGTGAGCCTAAAACCATATTAACATGGCAGCATTTAAAGCTCGTCTCACTAAGATTCATTGGCGCCGATTTTGTCAATTATAAACAAATATACCATTTCAGGTGGCGTCATGATACATGTAAACCTAAAGCTCTGCACTGTGGTGAAGGGCCGTATCGAAGAATCCAATTTACCTTATCCAGAAGCAAAGCGTCTCCATCATCGAAAACCCTTTCGTTCGGAAAACTGGTTCAGATGGTTGAGTTCCCAAGTCCGACTGCCTAAATCGTGCTACTCGATCAATTCTAACATAGCTTATTATCGCATGATTTTAATTTTCATTTGCCAGTACGATTTAATTCCTCTGCCCGTCAAATAATCTAGGGCGCAGCACAAAGTTAGGTGATTCCGTCGTCCAAAATAGCTATCACAGCCAATTGTATTTCTACTCCACGAGTGCTATGTAATTCTCAATAAAATCAACGCAGCATCTGCCTGACTTCACTTGGTTTCATCCTGCATGAGCGATTTGTCATCTTCTCACGAGAATAACACCACAGCAAACTGTATCCTTTCCACTGCCACGTATCAAGCGATATTGGCAAAAATAGGATAATGTTTACTCTGTTCGTCCTACCTTTTTTTATAGATAAAAAAAAAAAAAAAAAAAAAAGAGTCTTCCTTTAAAAATGCACTTTTTGCTTTGCTATCGAAATATGACGAAAAAATCGTTCCTAGGTCGATAAAAACTGCTACGAAATAGAAAGGCACACTGAATAATAGTAGGAAACTTTGTTTGCAGCTATAATAAAATTGGAACAATTTTAACTATTGATTTGCTTATTGTTCAAGCACATAAACAACAATCTCAACGAGCTCGAAATATAGATAGGTTTAGAATTATTTCCTGTGTGACAAGGTATTTTATAGTAGGGGTTACGGTTGAATATACCTGTTTCTGCGATTTCAGGATAAAGGAAACAAAAGCAATTGTGTATGAGTACGACGAATGTTTAGGTTTCCATATGATATTCTAACTCAGTCGTCATGACTTGTCATCGCGTTACTAATGTCGTGTACATCTTCTTCTCTTCTAATGAAGCTCAGTTATACGGCTTCGTTATACGGTCCAGCCTCGCGACTGATGAGCTTGAAAGCGCGATCAGTGTTAAAATTTAGAAAGTTGAAACGAAATCTTTAGAAGTGCACTGAAGGGCAACTGGTGGGATACTGGTGTCAAACCTAAGAGGAAAACTACTAATGAGTTCAACTTGAATCGGTTTCTTAAAGAAAATGGCTGCTAAGAGATTTAGAGGAACGAACGTGTACACGAATGAGTAACGAAATAGAAGGGCCCAGAAGAAAATTAAGCAGATTGGATTTAATATTACGTATGAGTAGGCCTCATACCATCCTTGAAGTCTACATGACTAATCTATACACATGCATATATATATATATATATATATATACTGGTGCCCATCCAACAATCAATGTCCTGTTTTTTTATACAGGTTTCAATCAAAATCCAGCTTAGTTCTACAAACGGCTTTATTTACAACTGTATTGGTTGTGCAAAATAACTGATGCAATTTTGCTGCACGATTTGGATAAATCAACCTGATAAAATTTATCACTAACTGATAAGCTTCTCTATCCTTCGTCACTAAGTTCGAAACAAAACAGTTAATGGTCACCAGACTGATAGCCATTAAACGTTGTCTGATACCCGGGGCGAGTTTGGTAATCCGAAATGGTACTAGAAACATTTCCAAACTTTTGTTTTAATTACGATTAGATGCCCGCGCTAAAGGAATTCAGCGTAGCCGACCATATAAACAGCTATAGACACTGACTGCAAAGCAAAAGCAACTGGTGGGAGGGGTATCAGCGCGTCATATATGATTTTTTTTTTCGCGTCATTAAACATAATACACCTCATATGGACGCTGTGACGTTTTATCAAGTCGTCGCACAAACGATAAAAATAATAAGGATCGATCTTGTTGCCGCTAATCAATGTCGCACTGAATTTAAACGCGATATGGAGTTCCCACAATTGTTATATATTGACCACAGACGGGTGAACAGACACACGGAATATTAAAAGTCATCTGCCTCAAAGGAGACGCTGCGTTAGACTGCTAAATAAGCGTGAATTGTGCATTTAAAGGGTCGCAATAAAATGGAAAACAAAAGTATGCTGTAATGCCACAGGTTGAGCGAAGAGGTTTCCAAAGCTAGGATACCCCGCCAATTTTATAGCAAATACCGCGTTTCTATTTTGAAGATCAAGAACATGGCCAAGGAAACGTAGATTATATGCGAAATAAGTTAGAAAGACGCGGCAGGAAGTTACATGAGAAAGTTCGAAGTTCAGATATGCAAGGCACATTCGGTATATATGGCGATCTGAATCATCGTGTCCGGACGTTATGACGGCTACTTATAATACAGGTTTCGGCGCACTGTGGATCTTCACACTTGAAGTTTTTTATTTGATCGATTTTTTTCATCTTCACAGTCCAGTTTTTATTACTGGATATTTTTTGGCTGACCGGACAAGAGGTATTCCATTTTATTTTATTTTAACGAATTTTCTTCAGACCACTAAAAAAAAGGTAGGTAGTGGTTTGTAACGACTACCGAGGTCTAGTACGATTTTGAAATGTAATGCTCTCCAGAAAGTAAATCTCCTACTAACAGTAGGAGATTATGGTGCTATAGAGCAGCAGATCGCCTTTATTTCGCGTAGAAACGTTGTTATATACACCAAGATTTCCGTAAAATATTGGTCCTTTCGGCGTTCCGCATCGATTAAGCAGCTAATAAAATTACCAGCGTACATGACAATCTCTCCTTAGTGAACTTTTAGCGAAAACAAAAGGCTTGCCTACTTTTTTAATAGATAAATAATGGGTCCTTTGTCTACGTTTTTCAGTAGAAGAGTCAATAATATCAGTGTGAAAAACATTTCCCTTTTTGGCCTGCTTTGTGTCGTAATTTACAATAATTTGAGAGCAGATGGAAAATATGTATTCGCTATATTCTTGTTTATCAATACGGTTCAAGTTGTTTTCATTCCATCGTAGATATCAAATTCTTAATCCAAATTTAATTAACGAAAATAATTAAAATTAACAAATCAAAATTTTAACAAATTGCAAAATTACACTGAGAAATATTTTTGGTACCCAGAAAACGATTCGGCATCGTCCAATAAGGCAAAGGTTACTTAAAGATGTCTCCTATATCATATTATATTCTCATGGACATATCTTCTGAGTATAATGTTAAATATTTTTACTAACGACAGAACCCGCGAACCTTCCAACCTTTGAACAAGCATTTTCACCCTAATGTTCAGAGCGATGAGCACCTATAATTTATTGGTTTACTTTATATTTTGAGCAAAGTCTGGCTTCTTTGGAAATTTACTTTTTCAATCACAAAAGCTGGAATCATAAGCATTTAGTCCACTGTTTCGAATGTATTATTCAAGTTGTTTATTTCTTAGTGGACCTAAAACATAAGCAGAATAAAGCAATTCAAATAATGGTAAACGATATAACTTTTAGCCTCCGCCATGCTCTTGTGACCCTACGGCATTACGAGGCCTTT